TCCTCCCGTAGAGGGGCACGCCCGACTTAACCCGAGGATCGGGAGGTCGCCTCGGAGCGGAACATGCCGTCCGCGGGCCGCGCCGGCGCGGGGTCGAGGGCTCGAACCCGGGCGCCTCGCCTCGCCTCTCGCGTGCGGCCGCCTCGGCCCTGGCCAAAAGGGGCGCCGCGGGGAGGAGAAGTCTCCCCCTCCTCCCCCTCCTCCTCGCTCCTCCTCCTCCTCCTCCTCCTCCCCCTCACCTCCCCTCCTCCTCCTCTCCCTCTCCTCGTCCCCCTCCTCCCCCTCCTCCTCCTCCTCCTCCTCCTCCTCCTCTCCAGGCCGGCCTGGGCGCGGGTCTCTCTCTCGCCACGTGGCCCACCCCTCGGGAACGATCGCGGCCTTCGAGAAGGCCTCCTCAGCAAGCTCGGAATTGCCCAGGCCTTCTGAGGAGTGTGAGGAGGCCTTCTGGGAAGGTGAGGAGGAGGAGGAGGAGGAGGAGGAGGAGGAGGAGGAGGAGGAGGAGGAGGAGGAAGCCTCCTCAGCAGGCTCGGAGGTCCCCCGGCCTTCTGGGAAGGTGAGGGGGAGAAGGCCTCCTCAACAGGCTCGGAGGTCCCCCTGGCCTTCCGAAAAGTGTTCCTTCCCCGAAGACAAACAACACTCGTCAGCAGGCGCGAGGGCTTCTGAGAAGTCCCGCCGCCTTCTGAGCGGGCTTCTCCTTCTCATTCCCCCCCACCTCGCTCGCCGCCGACGATCATGCGGGCAGCTCGATATCGGTCGATGCCAGGCCACGGGCGAGGTTCAGACTGAAGCGACCGCGCCGGAGTCGCCGCCGCGGCAACACTAGAGCAGGGACCGACCGTCCGGGCATTCCTATAGTCCTACCACGAAATGTTCTTAGAACCCAGAAATGTTCTAAGAACAAAAACAATGTTCTTAGAGCATTGACCCGATGTGTTCAACCAAGACAGGCGCCGCCAGAAATGCTCTAAGAACATTTCGTGGATACCACAAAAGGTTCTCAGAACATTGTTTGGTGGGACTATAAGCGAGCCGGGACGCTTCGCCATTGCTTGAAGCACGGCCGCGGATCTGTCGCAGGAATCGGCACGTCTGGGGGCCGGCTCTGGGCCAAGGCCCGCCCCCCCTCAGCAGGGGCCGCGGCGAGATGCCGATCTGAGGGCGGGGCTGAGAGATCCTGGGCCCCCGCGCCGTGAGCCAAGAGGCCCGGGGGCACGCACATAGATACACGCAAATCCAAGGATTCCACACATCTTCTCACATTGTCTGGGTTTTCGTCGTCCCCCCCCCCACTTCCCACACTTCCCGATCTCTTCCTGGGAAGCGGCGATGAGAAGTGCGCCCGTGTGCTTAGGATGTCCACTTCCACGTCCACAGGCCCTAAATTGGCTGGCCCTGCCCTTCTCGGCTGGGCTGTCTTTGGGCTGTTTTGGGGGTCTGCTGGCCCTAGTTTGGCCGCATTCGTGGGGCTGCGGCTCGCGGGCATAGAAGTGAACATCACCAGAGTAAACAGGAAAAACCAGTGCAGGAGCAGAAGGAACGAAGCGAGGGAGGAGGAAATGAGGGGGGACCGATGAGAAGGATGAGGAGTCTGCCTTTCAGCGTCGCCTCGGGGAAGGCTCATTGGAGGTCGGTCGGCGGAAGGGCGCCGCGCCTCTCCTCTCCTCACCTCCTCCTCTCCCCTCCTCTCCTCTCCTCGCCTCTCCTCTCCTCTCCTCTCCTTTCCTCCTCTTCTTCTCTCCTCTCCTCTCCTCTCCTCCTCTCCTCCTCTTCTCTCCTCTCTTCTCTCGTCTCCTTTCCTCCTCTCCTCTCCTCTCCTCTCCTCTCCTCCTCTCCTCTCCTCTCCTCTCCTCTCCTCTCCTCTCCTCGCCTCTTCTCTCCATGACGATGCTGCCGATGCTGCCCATGTTTTTGTTCGTCCGATTGAGCCTGAAAAGTAGGGATAACATCCAGTCCAGAGCAGCACTCGAACTGATAAAAAAACCTGTTGTGGCGTAGGGGTGCGTTGGAGGTTGGAGGTGTTGGAATTGGAGGTGCATGATGTTCGAAGGTTAGAGATCGAGGAGTGGAAAGCAGAGGGCCTGGAAAAAGTAAGGGCTCTTGCCGCCACCCCACTCAACGCCGAGCGCAACACCGATGCTGCAACTCCGATGTCTGCGCTCAGACCTGAGGCAGTCTCAAGCTGACCGCCAGCCCGGCTCGTCCCACCTACTTCAGCAAATGCCCCGCGGAGACCTTGAAAGCCTTCGCAGCTGCCTTAGCTCTAGCAAGTGCCTTGCGCTCCTCGGGGCCCAGCTGCTTCTTCTCCTCCGCGGCCTCGGTAGTTGTACTCTGGCGGCGACTGATGTCGCCAACCAAGCCGTTGATACCGAAACTTGTCGGGCCAGCGGGCTTGCTCTTGCTCTTGGCGCCACCGCGGCGGACGGGCCCCAGGGGAATCTGGGTGAGCTCGATCACCACCGTGCCATCGCTGGACGCAGAGGCGCCCTGTTCCTGAAGTCGGTCGAGCATATGTTGCATCGTGGCTTCGTTGGGCACCAAGTAGGGCATGCTGATCCTCACGTGCTGGGCCATGCCACCCATCAAGAGCGCCTGGTGATGGAGGGGAATATCGACTTTGTCCCGTACGAGTTTGCACGTGGGGACCTCATCTGTAACCGCACGCGCGCCCCAGGCAGCGACGATGACGCTCTCTGGAGTTGGCGTAGTCTGATCTCCAGCAGGCTCACGAGACACACACACACACACAAGGGAAGCACCATTACGAGCTCGTCCTCGTCCATGATGTGAAGCTTCGCCAGCAGCAAACACCCGTCGGTCCTGAAACAGGTCACGTTGCCGCAGAAGCTCAGCTTGAACTGCGTGTCCTGCGTAGCGTCGGCGTAGACCCTCCCGTTGCTGCTGTCCACCTTGATCTTGTCGAACGTGCTGCCCTGGACCTGGAACTCGCGGATGAAGAGGTGCGACTCGATTGCCTTGCACAGCGCTTTGAGCATGCCAGCTTGGAAATGGCTTTTCGGGATCATGATCACTGGTGAGTCGGTGTCCCGTTCCAGCTCCATTGCGTCGAGTACGTTGGTGCCAATGTACGTGTTGACCGTGTCGAAGCCCACGATGGAATCGACGGTGGTGGTCTTCTTCTCCTTCGTCTCAGGCTTGTTATCCTCCTGCGTCTCAGGCTTCGACTCTGGCTCCGGCGCGGTCTGCGTGCCCTCGGCTTTCGGAGTTTGAACTGACGATTGAGAAGGCTGCGACTCCGACGTCGGCTGGGAATCATGTGAGCCGGAGGGGAAGAGCTTCCCCTTGAAGGCCCCCTTGGCACGCTTCTCCACAGCAAGCCAAAGAGCATCGCGTGGACTGGCGTTCTCAACTTTCACAATCCCGTCAAATAATGATGCCCATGCCTGCACCCAGTAGTCGATCGACTTGGCCTTCAGGTTCATGTCCCAGACACCCAACATATGGAACGTACTCGAGTCCAGCGGCGGCACGGCCATCACGATATCAAACAAGTGCTTGGACGCAGGGTTCTGGCTGGACTGTCCGAACTGTCCATCCTCAGAGACCAACTGATGCAGCATGCTCATGGCGTACTTATCTCGGAGGAGCCCGAAGACGGTGGTGCTTTGTGCGTCTGCGAAGAGGTCGGACACCGCCGCTCCTGGGAAACCGCCCTGCTGCACTGTGAACTCCGTGATGTCGGCTGCGAGGTCCATCCACTCGAGCTTGAAGGGTAGCGCAGCCGCGATGATCTTCATCAAGTCGCTGATGGATGGGTGGGTCTTCGGCTCGCCGAGGCTCTTGTTCTTGAACTCCTGGGCGGCCATCTCGACCTTCATACTCGCCTGGGTCAAGGACGGATGGAACTTGATCCTCATAGAGGGCGGGTTCTCCTGCATGAACGCTGTGATGGGATCTTTGATCATGGCCATGCTGGAGGTGATGTCTTCCTCTGTCACGGGGATGGGCGAAGCATGGCCCGAAAGCTTCCGACGAGATGCCACCTCATCTTCCCCGGTAACCTTGCCCAGGACCTGGAGCAGCGCTGCACCAACAGCTGACAGTCCCGCTGACGGCTCCGAAGAAGATGCGTCTGCCGACGCCGACGCGGCCCCGGCTCCTCGAGTAGCGGCGGAATCGGACTGCCTGATCCCAGAGACACTTGCAGAAGTAATTGCGCCTGCCAACTTCGGCCGCAGCACTGACCAGGCGGTAAAGTTTTTCCCGCATATGCTGATGCTGGTGTTCCAACAGAACAACAAGCTCGCGGAGTAGATCTGGTCCTGCCCAGCTGCCCCCGCCCCCAAGCATTCACGATTCAGTCAGGCCAAAGGTAGGCCACAGCCAATTTCAGAAATGGAAACTCGGGCCGAAAACAGTAAAGCACAAACGAACCTCCGCTTCCCACGGGGGTATCTTTTCTCCCTCCCGCCACCCTCCTCTCCTCCTTTCCTCCCCTCTCCCTCCTACTTCTTCTCTTCCATCAATCCTTGACCATCGCCTCATCATCGTCGAAGGGGTCTCCTCCGCCTGCGTAGTTGCTCCGAGCCTCGACGTGCATCACCTGCACGTCGTCGATCCACGCAACGTCTCGCTCCCCCCCGTTCTTCAAGGCGGCCTTCAGCTTCAGATTGGACGGATTGCTCGCGGCCTCTGCGGTCTTGGACTGCTTGGCTTTCTTGTGAGGTGGCGGCTGCGGGTTGGGCGTGGCCTTGGCCTTTGCCTTGGCTGCATCGACGGCCTTCGCCTTTGCCTCCGCGTGCACAATGCTGTCAGCCATCTCAGTCACGATCAGCTTCATCTTGTCCTGGTTCTGGGTGCTCATGCTGTTGATGAGCCAATTCTGGCAGTCCTCGGTCGGGGAGATGAACCTGGCGCCCTGGATGAACAATCTGGCGAGGTCCTCGGTGGACCAGTGGACTGTTCCAATCAACTTAGCCACCTGCGTGCTCCAGTAGTGCAGCATTTTGACCATCATCTTGCGACCCAAGCCGGGGGCAAGGAAGTCGCACTCGCCACCAAGAATCTGTTGGAACCTGGGCCACATATTACCCAGCTTCTTCAACGTGTTCATCAGGCTGCGCGCCGCCATGAAGAGCTCCCGGGTATCGTAGATCTCCTTGTAGTGCTTGTCAAGGAAGTCGGACAGCTGCTTTGCGCATCCGTCGTCCCCTCGGCCTTGTTTCCCCAATGTGATGCCGTTCGCGTGCGCGTGGGCCTTCCATTCCGAATCCGCAGTCTCAACTTTGTCGATGATTTCGAGGAAGGTAATCCCAGCCCCTCCGTGGAAGGCGTTGTAAAAGTCGCGGATGTGCTCCGCGCAGTCGATCGGCATGGCGCTCTCGTACTCATCGAGGACAAGGCCCGCCGACAACGTAGCCTCGACGTTTTTCTTCTGGACAGGATCCGTCGTGTTCTCGTCCACCGCCAAGTACACGGCGCGAGAGACTGATCCATAGGTAAGCATTCTCCACGGGGGGGCCCCATTGCTCTCGCCTGGAGCCGAAGACAGCACAGCAATCGCGCCACCTCGGACCCCTTGAATGTTCCCGTACTTCAGGATGCTCCGCTTGAAGCGCTGTATCTGGATGTTGTTCTTCCGAACGTTCAGCTCGTGTGGGGCGATGAGGCGGCGGCCAGCCGTGTCGAAGAACTCCGCTTGCACGCCTGCACGAACCAAGAAGTCTTGCTTGATCTTGTCCAGCATTTGCATTCCCATTGGGGTGCCAGGGTATCGCTCGAACACCGCGTGGCACTTCCTGTACTTGATTGCTCGAGCTTGGGCGGAAAGGTCAGCGCCAGGTGCAGCGCCGTCGCCCCCAGCTCCCCCGGGCCCCCCGTGTTGCTGAAGAGCAGCCGCCATCGCTTCTGCCTTCGCATGCCCAATCATGGTTGCGAAGTTGGCCCAGATCGAACGGGGCCAAAATTATATGTAAGGGAGGCCCAAAGATGTGGGCTAGACCTCTGAAGCACCTGGCGTTACCAGGTCGGATCGGAACCGAAGAGCTTGCTACGGAACCCCGAGCCTGTGTGACCCCGAACAGTCTGTTCGAGTCGAGCGAGTCGAGTTCAGCAATTGACGGAGCCGTAGGGCGAGGAGGACAGGGGAGGGGAAGAGGGGGGATAGTTTCACTCAGAATCCTTGGGCGCTGGACGCCATGGCTGCGGCTGGCAATGACGATCTCTGCTCGACGCAGGCGCTCATGCGCTCGAAGGTGGTATCCCCACCTTGACCTGGCGACGAACGGGCGGAGCATTGGAGAACTACATCCGACAACGATTGCATGGCGAGCACCCGCGGGAGCTTTAGCACCGCGCGCCCTGTGCTCGGCCAAACTCCCTGCATCCCCCACACAGGTTCGTGTGTCTGAAATCTAGCTACTTAGGGACCCTAAGGGAAAGACCGAATCAAACGCTGGTGGTTTGGAACGATAGCTAAGGCCAAGATGGCCACGTTTAAATGTGCAGTGCAGTGCCCGTGCCCTACTCCCACACTCGTGTCCTCTTCCTACCTGTCACCCAACATCCCTCTGCGAGGAGGAGGAGGGGGAGGAGGAAGAGAAGGAGGAGATGGAGGAGGAGGAGGGTGGGGAGGAGGATAAGAATGAGGCGAGGGATGGAGGAGGAGGAGCTGAGGAGCAGTGGAACAGCGAAGCCAACCGTGCTGCTGATCAGACTCAGAGAGTCAAGGTGGGCGTCTCCCAGTCGGTGAAGAGGAAGGCGTACGTAATGGCGCTGCCGATGACCATCACCTGCATGGTGTCCCCAATCTGATGCTTGACGCTCTGGCGGTTGCGGGTCATCAGGGCCCCCGCGGAGTAGGAGGTCGCAATCCTGTTTGCAGACCCACTAGGGCTTGTCATCCACGACAGGACAGGCAGGCCCTGCGCGATCATCAGCTCGGTTGGGAAGAGCCAGCGGCGACACTTTCTCGAGGTGTTGAAATCGATCGAGGGGTTACGGGTGATCGTGTACATCACTTGCCCATTGCTCTGCATCCCGCGATTGTGTTCTGGCCTCTGATTTAGGCTGCAGACCATGTTGGGAGGATACGCCTGCTCGTAGTCATTCAAGATCTTCTTCTCGGCATCCGTCAGCGTCTCCTCGAATGGATGGGGCTGCGCAAGGAGCTGCTGGATGGGGCGTGCGTAGGCCAAACTCTTCTTGCGATTGCGAGCCCAGTCCAGCTCTGACCTTGCCTCGTCCGAGCCCGCCGGGACAATCGTGAAGTCATGGAAGGTGAAGCTTTTGCCGAGCTCGCGGTAGAACACTGGCATGACGTTGGCCATAGAAGCAATAGCTGGTCCAACCTTCTCTCTGCGATGTCCAATTCCGTAAAATCCTTTCCTCCGCACAGGATGCCCAAAGTCCGGCCCATCGAGGATCATCGATTGCCAGATGTATTTGCTTCCGAACAGTTTCTGCAGGATGGCCCCATCGAACAAGTCCGACTGCTCAACGATCAGGACCTTGATGTTGAGAATCCAGATGACTGCAGCCCAGGCGGCCATCGCAGTCATCCCCTTAGAAGTTTCGCCAGCATGCGCACCGATGGCGGCGAAAGGGCGGCGCGAGATCCCAGCGACGTGAACGTCTGTAGTAACCGGCCTCCTCGTGTCGCCGCCGCGCAGGTCCTGCTGCTTGATGTTCACTGCCACCCCACTCTGGACGAGCGGGACCAAATCGCATAGGCTGATGTCCTCCCCCGCCGCCTTCATATTCGTCAGCTCGCGTCGGATCTCATCGGTCCAGAAGTCGTCCAAGTCGCCGCGCAACTCCATGATGTTAGACGGATGCAACTTCAACTCCCGCTGGCACTCCTTATCATTCTCGATGGCCCAGCAGCAAGCGGGCTTGCGACATGTACCGATCCCATCAAGGCGAACATTCGCGGCCTCAACCGACATGATCACACTGCAGCCTGGCGCGTCTATCCCTGCGTAGGCGAACGACATGGTCTCGCCCTCGATGGCGCGCTTGTAGAGTTCTGCTGCTGACAACCCACTCGGCCCTAGGACGGGGCCGCTTGGGGGCGCCCAATGAACCTGCTTGTCAGTCGACTCGTGTAGATTGTCCTGGATCGCACTCAGGTTGTGTTCGGCCCACATGTAGTCCTCGCGCAGGCTGTTCACGATGGGTCTGCGATTCTGCACCGCGGGCTCGGTGAGGTGAGGCTGCGCATCGCCCAGGTCGCCAGCTGCTTGATCACCGACCTGTGAAGGAACACGCAAACAAAGGAAAGGGGGAGGACGAGGAGCAGGAGGAGGAGGAGGAGGAGGAGGAGGAGGGGGAGGAGGAGGAGGAGGAGGAGAAGGAGGAGGAGGAGGAGGAGGAGGAGGAGGAGCAGCCGTCTTTTTCTTTTGCAGAGGAGCAGGAGGCGTCCTGGATTCCTGGGGCCTGGGGGCCTGGGGGCCTGGGGTCTAGGGGCCCTTTGGATGGGAATGGAAGGGAGGGGGTGACGACGGCCCTTGGGATGATAAGAAGTAGATTGGTTCCCCCTCCAGACCGTCACGGTAGGAGCTGCAGCTGGAGAGACTGAAGTCCAGAGAAGTCCTGGGGCCAAAGAGGGGCCCTCGTCCTCGTCGTCGTCGGGCCCGTCGGAGGCCGCTTGCACACCGACGTCCTCATCGGCCTCCGACTCGATCTCAACCTTGTCCTTCGGCTCGTCTTTCGTCTCGTCGATCGGCTTGTGGTCGTCGCCGTTCGAGTCGTCGGTTTCGCCACTCGGCTCCTCGCGAGGCACTGCGGGTACCCAGGCCATCGAGCTCGGTTCCTTGAAGACGAATCCAGAGGGACACGGCTTCAGGACATCGGGGTCGCCGATGACCACCCAGCCCCGCGGGTCAAGAGGAGAGGGCGGAGGAACAATGGAAGCGGGAGCGAGGGGGGGAGCGAGCGAGGAGGGGGGGGAGGGACCAGGAACAGAGGCAAAGGGGTTAGCAGGAGGAGAAGAAGGAAGGAGGCATTGGCATGGGCCACAGCAGGCCCCAGGGCCCCAGGACGGGCCCCAGGACGCCTCCTCCTCCTCCTCCTTCTCCTCCGCCTCCTTCTCTTCCTCCTCCTCCTCCTCCACCACCTCCTCCTCCTCCTCCTCCTCCTCCACCACCTCCTCCTCCTCCTCCTCCTCCTCCTTCTCCTCCTCCTCCTCCTCCTCCTCCGCTCCCTGCTCTATTTGATGGGCCCTCAGCCCGCTGCTTATTGAAGGGAAGGTAGAGCGGCGGGTCGAGCGTCTCGTTCTTCTCGACGACCCACGCGAAGATCTCGGGGAACTTCTCGGGGTCCTTGAGGTGCAGGCCGAATGGCTTCTCGAGGGCGTCGACGTCGGTCATGGTTTTGTCGTAGTTCTCTGCGAGATCACTGGGAGATGTGATTCGGCGGCATTCGACCCACTTGCATTTGACAGCGGCAATCCAAACCTCCTCTGTCTCATCATCATCCACGAAACCTTTTTGCAGGATGTAGATGTCCTGCCCCCTGGTCCGGCATTTGCAAACTGTAGGCCGAACCTCCCAAGTTTTGTAGTGCACACAAGCCCCTGCCTTCGTAGCGAGAGGCTGAAACTTCCAGGCGTGCTCAGGGCGGACGAACAGGCCAGCGGCATTGATTGGTTTGGCTGTCGGCCGGGATTTGGCCTCGGCCTTTGGCCTGCCTGTCTTGGCGATCTTGGGCGCCAACGGCTTCCCCTCCGGCTCGGCCCCGGCACCGTTCCCAGTCAACAATGTCAAGATGGGGCGCTTCTGAGGTCTCAACGGCGTGCCGCCAATCGGCGTCAGTTCGAAAAAGCAGCAGCTGCTTGCAGAAAGAATGCTGGCACAAAATCAATCAAGACTTGACGACGAGAGCCAAAATAGCGACGGACACGAGAGGGCATTTGTTTTTTACCTTTTTGTTTTGCCCAATCCCATAGCACAGAGATGTGGGATGCCCTTGATTGGGCCGGGCGGGGGGCATGGGCGGTGGCCCAGCTGGGCCAGCCAGGCGGCGAAGGGCTGGCCCAGCTGGG